AAAAAAAAAACATAGGGAGTAGTAGCATGGAGTCTCGTGAAGTAAGTTTTTCAAAATATAATAACAATGATAAATATAAAAATAATAAAAATAAAGACATGATAAGATATAGTTGTATATATCCTTAGGCACGAGAACCATCAAATCAATTTAGAAGTATTTTTTGTCTGGAGCTTTTATTTATTGCCTTTTCTATCTCTAGTCACCTCTTTATAGTGTAGTTAAATGAAAGTCCCATTTCTATAACTTGTGGTTAAATTCGTTTTTTATTTAATTGAAGTAACTAATATGCAAAGCATCTATCTATTTCTTAAGAAGTAGAGAAGGCAAGAAATAAAAAATGGATTTGGGGAAATATAGATAGAAAATGTGGTTTTAAAGATGACGGAAAAGATATGAAGCCACTGAATGAGTCCAAAGAAGAAATGGGAAAAGAAGAAGTATTTTTCCATCATCTGACTTTGAGTGGAGCAAGTTGATGATGATAGCTCCGGGAACAAGAAGCCGCTAAAATACCATTAAAATAATTTACATTTTATAGTTTAACCTTTTACTATTTTATCCGCGATTAAGACATAATGATTAAGACTATTAATTTGTGTTTGATCCTTAAATTTGTGTGCAAAAATATGGTCTTTATCTTTCTCCACAGCAGCACACCAAGATGTGACCATACTTCGATCCGGGCTTGTCAAAACCATTGTCCGCGGGCCTTGAACCGTCAGTTTAGGTTCAAAACCAAAACCAGCAGTTCTACACCGAAATTCTAATTTAAAAGTTGATTTTTATTTTATATTTTTTATTATCGAACCGGTCCTAAACCCTGGGTCAATTCTAAACTGGAACCGCATGTTCATTGAACCAGCCCTTAGTATTTCCCGGGCCAATTCCGGTTCACCAAAATGACTAACCTGAACCGACGGTTCCGAAGCAAAACCGGGTTTTGGCCAGCACACACCTTGTGCAACAAAGCCACCCATAGGCATAGGATAAGGACTAAGATATCATTTTCTTGAATATTGTATTATATAGGGAGAAGTCACTTTCTGAATTTTGTCAACTTGCTCCCACTTGGCCCCAATAGTCTTGTTCAACATGGCCGGAAATTAGCTAAAGATCCCACCCCACTTCAATTTGTTCACTCTTTTCGGTTCTTTTTAGTTAAAATACTTGGCTCATTATTGTACTCCATAAACCAAAACGTAAGCTATGAACAAAAGGAGCATCTAAAGTGCCCATTTTCTTTCAGCTTACTTGTTACTAGGAAGAGAGAGATGTACATATATACCTACACTTTTGGGCTCAGCCCTTCTCTTGTTTAATGAGGAAAGCAGTTCGCCTCCTTTCCATGAACTCGTGAGAGTTTTTTTTTTTTTTTTTTTTTTTTTTAATAATTCTTTTCATTCTATAATGAATCACATAAAAAATTTGAAATCTGAAAAGAACAATTAAGCAGAAAAATTTCAAAGCCGTCAGACAAAACACCGGTATCATCAATTAAGCCCTAAGCAAAAAGTACAATGCAGATAACCCACCAAAAAATCTACATATAAAATCGTGGTGCTGATAAGCAACCATATGACACACATGGACTACATAATAAAATATTTGGCAACAATTCTCAACCTCGAGAATAACATGCTCCCTAAATTTAAACATCAATTTGCTCGACCGATATAAACTAGAAATGCTTATCCATTGATTTATCAGCACTTTAGGTACATCTCATACGCAATTTACCTGGGCTTGTTTACAACCCATTTTCACATCATAGAAGGTCAGATGAACACTGCTGGTTGGAAGAAGAATGAAGAGCTTCATCACATGTTGGTCATCAAGGCTTGTGTATCTTGAAGCCAAAAACCCTTGGAACATAGCTCTTTGTTGGCTTATGAGGCTTGAGGTGTCCGTAAGTCATCAAGAACAGGTTTGGGAATGTGGTCCCAAAATATGCTCCGTCGATATCTTTGGAAGTCAAGGGAAATTGCATCAATATATTATAGCAGTTCCTACGAGCATCACAAATGCAATTAATGTTCCATAACTAGAAAGAGTTTGTATTCCTTGATGAGTGTCCTCCAGAACAATATACAGTAATGTCTCATAACAATACGAAATCCATGACAATCAGCATCTGTGAGAAACTGAACTAACCCTATTTCATAGCATCAGATGGGAGAAATATGATTGCATGAAAGAGGTGGGCCCAACTCAAGTATGAATAAAGAACAAGAATGCAAAGGATACTGCCTTGGTACTTGGATCGAGGATAGTAAATGTCTTCAGATTTGGGACAGTAAATCTTCACGGTACTTGAGCGCGGTATGTCTGATTGGCCAACTGGAAGGCAAGGCTGCCCACAGCAGTACACTCTGGGGCATCTTCCGAAGTCATAGTTTTTGTACTTCTCTAACTGGTACAAGTTCCAACACAACGAGTAAAAAAAAAAAAAAAAAANGAAAAAAAAAAAAAAAAAAGATTAAATTTTTTGATACAGAAATCAGAGGGTGAATCTTTCTGATATTGTTACCATTGCCGCCATTCCCTTGCTAGTCAAAATGAACCGGACATGAATAAGGCCATAGAGCATTTCGGCAGCTGATTCAACCAATTCGTTCTGTTCCTCGGTAAACATATCACCTGAATACACCCACCATGGAATAGATGTTACCATCAGGGTAATTCTACTGAAATAACATACAAAATAAATTCAGATAGTAAAAATATTATATATCAGATAACTACTCCAATGAAGCAGATAGAAAACTTCTAGACAAACAGCTTTAATTAATCCTGTGAATGCTGAAACTTTGTCACGAAAGAGAGTAGGCAACTACTCAACAGATTTAACAAATTATATGAAAGATTGATGATTGAAAACCAAACTATCCATGTTGAGTCAGAAGCAAATATATATGACAACGTGTCACAACTATGTATAGTGGTGCAAAAAAAAAAAAGGGGGTCAGAAACAATAAAAACAAATACTCACTCCCTTGGTCCCATCATTTACTGTTCGAGAAAATTACTTGGGCCATGCGTATAAGTACACCATGTGAAAGTCATAGTGTAGAATCTGTCCTTTCCAACACATAAGAATTCACAGTCTTTCTCTGGACATGCAAATTGTATATATACTTATTTGCTTAGAATCCTAAATGATGCAAGACTAGCAACCCAACCAACATAATGCTCACCATGAGATGACTCTACATCGAGAATTAGGTCAAGCGCGTAATCATAATACGGAACCTGACTGCTTAAACCACATAGATTGAAATCATCTTGAATATAATCGTCATCAACTTCACAAAAGAACTCATTCCCACGCAAGTTACAAAACCAAGAAACCCAAGAGGTATCATCTCCATCAGAGCCACTGACATCTGAATCATCACTTTCTGATTCAGATTCCTCTGCAAAAAATACATAAATAAATAATATGCAATGCAATACTATGTTTCATCTTAACCATATACATATTACCACATAAGACCCAAAAGAGAGAAATAGATCTTCTTATCTGTGAACATACGTACTTAAAAAGTTATATATGAACTTTAGAAAATTCTATGAAACATATAATACCCATCACATTGTTACCTTGATGAAACATATAAGTGGCCTACAAAGTTTTGGGATCAGTCACCTTTAATTATTAGTACGTATGAAGTTACAGAATATAAGTTTTGATATATGATTTGCAATTATGAGTACGTTAAAGGGTACTTTTGATGTGCAACACACTAATTTTCATTTCAAAATGGGGTGTATCAAACAAAAATCATCAAGTGAAGAGAACTTGATGTTTTGTCTAATTCCTACTGTCAGCATGGTAAATAGACCTCATAGTTGGTGGAGATACTGACACGGATACTTCCATCTACTAAAAGCAGATACCCCGAGCAGGAATTTTTAACATCCCTGGAACTTCACGTGCCTCATAAACAGTTATTAAAGCCCAAAACTATAACAACGTAAAAGTAAAGCTACTTTCCTAACCAACAAAAGCCACCATTCCCCAGCCTCTAGTTTAACACACGACTTTTGCACCTTAGCAATCATTGCAAAATAAAAATATGCCTATGGAACGTGCATTCCTTGTTATCATATCTATACAGAACAATAAATGAGGTAACAATCAAGGAGAGCTCGCAGTGCAGATACATGAAAAGAGAAACTATCGTGTCACTATCTAAGAGAGCTGCAGACTTGCAATTGGACACAGAATTAAGGTTTAATATAATAATATTCTGCCATTTATACGACTCAGTGCTTTTCGGAAGCCCTGATGTCTCAAAGTCCCTAATCCTGTTGAGATCATACGCTCATTGAATGATCGCAGATATTAAGGGCCTAACTCGAAATAAAGATCTATCATTGTAGCTGGTATAAAAACATAAACAACTTCAGACTGGATATACTTAAATCGTTCATGACTCAATCATTGAGGGAAAAAATAAAAAGGACAACCACAATCATGATATGAAATTGAACACAGCACACATTACCAAATGAGGGAAAAACAATGAAATCAAGGTAACCAAAACTTTTGCAAAAGGCAAAAAAGCATAATGGTACCCTCGGAGAGCTTGTTCTTTATAGAGCTGAGTGTGGACAAAGAGCGACTGTCCCGCGGATCATCATGCTTCCCGGCGGCGGCCGATGTGGACGGCACGGCAACGGCGGAAGCCTTGTTTCTGCAGGCGGACGGAGACGATTTCTCCGGGTGTTTGTCCAGCGGGTCGTTAATTCGCTTCCTGTCGAGCATCTCCCCGCCCTTTGCCGAGCTCCCTCCGCCTCGATCTCTGTACATGCTCGTACCAAATCCGGTAATATCAAATTCCAAGCTTAAGCTATATATCTATATGACTAGAATCATAGATTCCATGAATTCAACTGAAGGAGGTGAATAATGATTAGATATTTACAGTGTAATGATGTCGATAACTAGGGTTTCTTTTAAAAATTGAGGTGCCCCTTTTTGTTTTTTAATTTTTTCTTTAACAAGTTCAATAATTCATGCTATTTTTAGTTGGTAAATTAACTAAAACATAATTTTAACAAATTTTGGATGTCACAATTACTTGTCCCTATTTTGTGTGTAGACTATGGACATTCATGCATTATGTATGTCACAATTACTTTGTCCCTCTTTGTTTTTTCTTTCATGTACTTTTGTGATGGTAATTGATGTAGCCATGACTCGGTTGAATCAAAGTTGCAACTTCACTGATGAACGAATTTCATAACTCGGTCGACTTAACTAAAACCCGATTTCAAATAGCTCGAATTGAACTAGTCGAGCTACCTAGGAGTAGTTGAGATTGACCTATTGACCTTCAACAGGTTGAACTAATCAATTAAGATGACCTATATTGACCTTCAATAGGTCGAGCTAACTAAGAAATAAGACCTATTGGCATGGTCGAGCTAACTAAAGAAGAAGACCCACGGACATTCTAGCCGGTCGAGCTAATCAATTAAGAACATGTGAGCATAAAGATCTAAGTAGGCATGGGCTTTATCAAGATAAGAATGAATTTAATTAGAATACGGATGGAATCAAGACAAAGATGAACACAAAGCCTATAAGGATCAACCTCACCTTGAGAAGTCATTTTAATCCCTTCAAAAGAATGACTAAAATTTATTTACTTTTAATTTGAAATCATTCAAATTCTATTGTCATCCAAACATGCATGGAGAGTTGAACTTGTAAATTTGAAATTCATATATTTTAAGTCCCTCAACAAATCATTCAATCCAAACATAGCCTTATAGAATAGTCTTTGTCCAACTCTAACCAAGTAAAGTTTTAAAAGACACTCGCCAAGTGATGAAAGACAGGATTAGATGAAATTTAGGCATTGTAAAAAAAAAATATATTTATCATCGTGCAATTTACAAAATATATTTTATAAAATATATTATTTAGTATTATTTATTATATTAATGTTACATGATTATTTATTTAGCTTTTATAATTACTTTAGATGAAATGTATACAAATAAAACATATTTGTTTATTATATCTAAAAATAAATAAAAAAAGACAGGATTTCAAGACCGCTAAGTTTGCAACCACTTGAACTGTGTTAAGTGTTGTCTAGCCCAATGTTTTAAATACCGTACCGGTGATTATACCGGACGAGCTACTGGTAAGCGGTTCACCCGATTTTACCGTCTATTTTATCGATATTAATAAATATTAAATTAATCTATTATTATTATTATATAAATAATATATAAAACTAACTATAATAAATACTAAAATTAACTAAAATATAATAATACGTAAATATTAAATTTACGTGTAGAATTTTCTATTTATATAAATAAATTAATAAAAATATGTTATAAAAATCTTTTTTTTAATAAAAATCGATTATAACCGGTATTTTAATCAGTATTTTGGTCAATGTTGTTCGGTAAAACCGGTATTTTCTGGTATGAAGTCGGTATAAACTAGTATTTAGAACAAAACAGTATTTAAGGAGTAATCGTAATGGTCGGATTACTGGTATCTGATATTACCGATAATAGCGGTCGGTACGGTATTTAAAATATTGGTCTACTTCCCACTTGGACGACGCCGTGGTAGCCCGATTTTTAGAGCAATAAACGCACGCATTATATGATATATTGAAGGGAGTAATACAGAAGTCTGCTTGTATATTGATTATTGACCACAATTAGTGCAGAATCATATGCACAGCATCTAGTTTTTGATAAATGAAGGGAACTTGAACTTTCTGAATGACCATCTCGGTAAAGATTCGAGCCGACATTTACCCATCTTCTCAAGCTGGCTGAACGTCTTTTGAATAGGGAACGTCTCGAATTCACCCACCCTACCCACTCTGCGCCACCGCTACAACCATTTCAACCGACAATACTTTCAGTACAACACAGCAAAAAACAGCCGAGGTTGATCGAAAAATGGTGATGGAGATGATTAAAGCAGCAAATATGCTGTCCACATTAGTTGTCGGAGCCCTTTTAGTGCTTCTCTTCCTATTTCTCGACGCTTCCATCCTCAAACCGAGAAAGCTCAGATCGAAACTCGAAAAACAAGGGTTTAAGGGCCCCTCTCCCTCTCCTTTTTACGGCAATATACCTGAAATCAAGAGAATTATTCAGATTCAGCAGCCTCTGACGGAAAGCTCATCGGCCTCGCAAGTGATTTTTCACGATTGGTTCGCAAATGTCTTCCCGCATCTGGAGAAATGGCGGAACCAATACGGTAAGCTTGCCGATACGTTGTTCGTTCTAATTCCTCACTCAAATTTTTCGCTGTCGATATTTTTTAACAACCTCGAAGCTTGTAATCTGGTTTGAGTGCGAGTAAGCCTTATGAATATCCCAAGTGTAATTTGCTTGCAGTTTTACTTCACAGAATCACAGCATACTTTGATGTTTAATGGGCTTGCAGCAACTTGAGTGGAAGTGTGCTCATTTTGAAATGAACTGCATGTGTACCAAACATTTCATTGGTGATTCACTAGAGCTATAATTAAATTACAGGGCCAACATTTCTGTATTCGACCGGAAACATACAGATACTTTGCGTTATGGATCCGGAGATGGTAAAGGAACTGAGCCTTTGCACGTCTTTGAGCCTCGGTAAACCTTTGTATCTATCCACAGAACGCGGCCCCTTGCTCGGTAAAGGCATCCTGTCGTCCAATGGGCCTTATTGGGCGCATCAGAGGAAGATCATTGCGCCTGAATTTTACCTAGATAAAGTGAAGGTATGTAGATGTAGGTCCTTCGGCAAGTAAAATGGACTTTGGTTTTTCTGATGAAAATGAGTATGCCAGTCTCTGCATCGTATTTTAGTAATTTTATTGCTTAATATTGATAGGGCATGGTGAACTTGATGGCTGAGTCCACATTGATTATGTTAAAAGCATGGGATAAGAAAACTGAGAGTGGCCAAGTAAAGGTTGAAATTACAGTAGACGAGGATTTGAGAAGCTTGTCGGCAGGTATTATATCAAGAGCTTGTTTTGGAAGCAGCTATAAAAAAGGGGAGCAAATATTCACTAAACTTCAGTTACTACAAAGGATAATGTCGAGGGGGTTTATTGGTGTTCCTGGATTAAGGTATGCCCACTTCTGAGTTGAACCACTGGGACAAATGAAACACTAGCACCATTCTTCATAGTGTTAAGTGCACCGTAGTTTGTTTCCACGAAATTTGTCTAGTTATGAAAAAGGGAGAAATACTCTAAACGATCTTTGGAATACTTGTTCCTTTTCTATAAATAATTCCAGTAGGGCTATAATAATAATAATAATAATAATAATAGGTTGTGTTCCGTAATTAGGCCAAACCTCAGTTGTAGTTTTTGAAAATGTGACAGCAAATTGATGGAATGATGCAATAAATTCTATCAGGCACCTTCCCACCAAGCACAACAGAGATATATGGAAACTGGAAAGAGAAATCGACGATATGATACTGGAGGTAGCCAAAAGTCGTACTAATGATGATGAAAATGACAAAAAGGACCTCCTACAATTGCTACTCGATGCTGCTGAGAGTTGTGTGGGTGACAGCAACATTCCAGCAGATATCACCGCCAACAAGTTCATTGTAGATAACTGCAAAAACATATATTTTGCTGGCTACGAGACCACATCGATTTCGGCATCATGGTGTTTGTTGATGCTTGCGGCTTATCCGGACTGGCAAGCTCGAGCTCGTGAAGAAGTTCTTCATATATGTGGGACGAACATCCCTACAGCCGAAATGTTACGGAGCATGAAAGTGGTAAATCTCTAAAACATTTAACAGGGGTAATATATAATAAGTGGCTTGAAAGAGTTCAAGGGTAAATCGGAGCACAAACAGTTATATTTCCATACCTCATTCGGCATGTATTTCTAACTTATAAATTACACCTATTGAGATGATATAAACTGATGCGAAACCTACTTTATTTCAATTGGCAGCTGACTATGGTGATTCAAGAGACCCTACGTATGTACCCACCAGTAGCTTACGTGGTGAGAGAGGCCTTGCAAGATATCAACTTGAAGGGAATTAACATCCCAAAGGGCATCAATATTCAGGTACCTATTCCCTTAATGCACCAGAACCAAGAGCTATGGGACTTGGAGTCTCATAAGTTCAAACCCGATAGATTTGCCAATGGAATTACAAGGGCCTGCAAGATTCCACAAGCATATATGCCATTTGGGGTGGGGACTCGAACATGTGCAGGACAGAACTTCGCCATGGCTGAACTCAAGACCATTTTGTCACTCATTCTGTACAAATTTAAGTTGTCTCTTTCACCATCATATCACCACTCGCCCGTGTTTAGATTGGTCATACAACCGCAACATGGTGTCACCGTTCTTCTTGACAAACTGTAAATGTGTATTTGTTTTATGTATATTTAAAACTTATACTCAGCTTTTGATCTGAGATGAAAGGACAAGACATATTGATGTTATGTATGTGAGTAAATCGCATAGCATGGATTCACTTCATAATATAGCCTCCAGTTACTCATGGTTTCATTTATTCTGTCTACCTTCTTTCAAATCCTCTACTATTAAAATAACAATCCATTAGATTTTAGTTATTTATGCGCAATCATCATTATTTAACCTACTTTTTCCAAGTATATTGAAAATTTATTATGAAATAGTCATTTTTATTTTTCAATCAGAAAATCAACTCAAAAAAAGGAGGAAAAATATGATTTTCGCCCCCAACAAAGAAGTATTCAGGGGGTAGTAGTTTATTTGGTTATGACTTACAGCATTCACAACCCTTTAACACAAATACTATTAATTCAATAAAAAAATAACACTCTCTCTCATCTACATCATATTTCCACTAAATTTCTCTCTATTTAAACACACACCTACATTCCTACACATTCATTTAAATACATATATATGACCCATTATCCACTCATTCCATATAAATTTTTATATTCTATTCTCAATAAAAATAAAATGTAATACTTTTAAATTATAACAATAAATTTTAAATGCACGAAAATAAAAGAACACTACAAGACCAAAACAACTTAAATTAATATTACACAAGAAAAAAATAGTACAATTACAAAAAATAATTTTTTTAGTTGATGGCAAAATGAGTCCAAAATGCTGAAATTGTGGGAATTTAGAAGTGTGATATAAATAAAAAATGAAACTAATATAAAATTGATTAAAAAAAAAAAAGTAAAAAAATGGGATGAATGTGTTCAGCCCATTGAACAAAATCCTGGACCCCACTAAAAGAATGAACGCCCACAATGGCGTTAATACCAACTTGGCGTTTAAACAGGGACAAATTAACACCCATTGCGGGTGCCCTTATGAGGTGGGAGCCTCAAAGCGGGCCCACACTATCAGATTAAGAGAAATGCTATAGGTACATAATATTTTACATAAGAGTGTACATAACGCTTACATTGAGTGTGACCTACCAAAAATAAAAAATCAAGTGGACCCCACTCCATGTGAGTGTCATGTACACCTCTATTTACATTTATTATATACTTGTAGCATTTTTCTCAGATTAAATACATTGCTCCACAAGTCTTCATGCATTAGATGACTATAGAGGTGGTCAGTCAACGGGCCATAGCCCGGCTCGGCCTGCCGGGTCGGCGGGCCTTAAATGCTTGGCCTGTGACCGGTCCGACTATACTTAAGGATAGGTTCAATGAATCGTCCCGACCCGACAGTTCATTGAACTGCAAATTTTAAAATAAAAAAATAAATAAAGAATTTATAATTGTGACCCACAGGAAAAACCCGAATCTGTGCGGGTCAAAAAGGAGTACAACACGACCCTTAACCGGCCCTTAAGGAGTTTTGGACCGGTTAAAAAAATCAGTTTTTTTGGTTCGGGTCCAGGCCGATCCGGGTCGGGTCGCGTGTCGTGGCCCGTGGCCATGTCTAGTCTAGTCTAGATGACTAATACGAAGTCATCTTCCTCTCACTTCTCCACGTGTTCCAAATATATCCATCGATAGATGAGCGTACCTTTAAATGCACAACAGCAGATCACTACTCCACTCCTATAAAAGCCGCGCAGTCGACCGCAGATTTGTCCTTTCTTGATTGTTAGGGTTTCTCTATCTCCCGCATTCTTCAATTGGGGCACACACCTGAATTACAGAGAGCAAGCGTTTTAACATTCGATTCAATTTATTTATTTGTGTTTTCTGATTTTAATTCGTGATATTTTAATTGGTGAGTGGATGGCGCCGAAGTTAGCGAAGAGAACTTCAGCGGGACCGGGAAACAAGCGAGGTACGCGGGCTCGGACCGCGGCGGCGAAGGTTCAGGAGGAGGTTGGGGTTACGGAGGCAGAGAGTGTTGAGGAAAAAAAGCTGCCGGTAGCTGTGGAGGAGATTGGGAGGGACCCTGCGGTAGGCATGGGTGAGAAAGGAACGAAGCCGGCTGTAGCTATCGAGGACAAAGAGACGGAGCCTGAGGATAATGCTGAGACAAACGTGACGGAAGAAATTGAAGATGATTATGCCAAGAGTAAGTGAAAGATGATTTTTTTCTGGGTTATAT